ACCCTATCCTTGATTAGGTCGAGACATTTGCCGAATGTAAACCCTATCCTTGATTAGGTCGAGACATTTGCCGAATGTAAAACCTATCCTTGATTGGGTCGAGACATTTGCCGAATATAAAACCTATCCTTGATTAGGTCGAGACATTTGCCGAATATAAAACCTATCCTTGATTGGTCGAGACATTTGCCGAATATAAAACCTATCCTTGATTAGGTCGAGAGACCTCCCAGATATAAAACCTATCCTTGATTGAGTCGAGACATTTGCCGGATATAAAACCTATCTTTTATTGTGTCAAGACATTTGCCAGATATAAAACCTATCTTTGATTGGATCAAGACATTTGACGGATATAAAACCTATTCTTGATTGTTTTCTAAAAATATAAAATATTGTTTTTACTTTATTTCATTTCTACCAATGTATATATATATGTATAAATTTGGGACTCGTACCTCGTGGTGAGTACACTAAGGATAATCCATCATGCAGCTTTGCGCCTACTTAACATCAAACAAATAAATAAATTTGAATAGGTGGAAAACCATGATGAACAAGACGAGCTGAAAAAAGACATAGATTATGTTGATGAAGTAGAAGATCGGGAGCCTCGAGCAAAAATGATATACCAGAAGTACATGACCATGGTCAGTTCTCAGTTCGGAGAAGAAGTAGAAAATGAATATGCTATGAAATTGGAATTCAGATGTGAAGGTAAGTAGATTGAGACATTTTTGTAAAGAATGTTTTTTGTTTTAAATTTAAATAGTCATAAAAGTTTATAGTACAACCTGAAGTTATTATGACGTAGTTTTTTATTTTATATAATTGGGCATAAATTTAAGCTACTTTACTAGAATTACCACCGAAACATATTTCAATAACACCATATTTATTTGTGTATGGAAAAACATGAAATGAGCAAGTTTTTTTATATAATTGCTTGAGCTGTATTAGTGCAGGAAAGCAGCCATATTGTTGTCAGTCTGCAAGACAATCCATAACTGTAGGCTATTTTTCGACTTTGAAGGTGTTCATATAACTCGCATTTTCAATAATATTTCACAGGCTGTGAGTTTGTTGTTCAACAAGTGTATTAAGAAATTATGATATTAAAGTAGGGTTCTTGATACAAAAAGTACTGAAACAAGAAATTAAAACAATAATCACGAATCTTTAAAATATTTAATCCTTACTTTGGCCTATATATAAGTGTTTAAAGTTGCCAAGTAGGGATTACATTTTATATATATGTGATTGTGGTTTTAATTATTGTTTCAGTACATTTTGTAGCAATATTCCTACTTCAATTTAAAATTTATAATTTTTAATACTCCTGTTTGTTTACTTTTTTATGGTATACCTTTATAAGCTATATACTTTACCTTTAGAAACTGTTAGGTGCTTATCCAATGACACGTAGCGCCATCTGTCGGGTTGAAAAGATAGTTAAGTACGTACATGATTGATATTTTTACCATTTATATTATAGCTCTCTCTCTCTATATATATATATATATATATATATATACACTGTGAGAAAATATTGAACCAAATGGATGTTGTTTTAGAAATTTTTAAAAACTTTTAACTGATAGACTGTTGACCTTTTGCTGATTGAGAATGTTGATTTTGATGTGTCTATGTATCCTAGTAAACTTTTGGTGGAAAAGGTTTTTATAAGGCGGTTTTTGGGAAAGTGGTTTTTTTTCGGCCGTCATTTTTTCTTGTTGGTCACTACTATTAAGTATTATCATACTTAATGATAAAGGTTTTAAATTTTTTACTGTTCGCTCTGCACCCAGTTTCAAAGTTCTTCTCAAGTGCGTTTTCTTTACAGTCCTTATCAATATGTTTGTAAATTCTTGAGCTGTTATCCAAGGTTGACTGTACCTGTTCTTTTATACGTTGTTCCAAGCGGCGAATAGCTGAACCAATATAATCTCTCCCACAGCGAGAACACACAAAATGAACTACAATATAAGAACGTTGCCAACCACATCGTTTATTTTAAGATAAATTTCAACAAAAGTGAAGATGAGAGAAAAATTCATTTTTCATACTCTATGGTTGATAAAATGTTTTTTGAAATATTTATAGTTTTTTTTTAGTTAAAAGTTTCAGTGATGTGTTTATTTATAAGAATAACGTTATTGCTAATATAATATCGCTCACAGTAAGAACACAAAATAATAAACAACATAAGAACGTTGCGATCTGCCAAACCCATATTTGTATTTAATAAAACTTTCAATCCTAAATGTTTCTTTAAAAACCACTGAAATGGAAATTTGAGAAAAATTTGACATTCTTAGGTTGTTTTTTTCTTTAATTCAAAACTAACACAGACAACATATTTTGGCACATCAAAGCTTAGTTTTGGAGAGGATGTTCACTCCACTTAAAAATCTGTTAACCACCTTATCAATCGAGGTTAAATCATATCAGTTTTAAGTAACACATTTTATATTATTTCTAATTCTTAATGAAAATAATGAAATTTGTTTAGAGCGTGATAAGCTCTGTACACTAGGATGTTAACTAAATTCATTTTGTAGCTATTTGCATGACTATATAACCCTGCTTATGTATGTAAGTTTGTGATAAATGCCTACATCCCAGTATATGCCGCAATTATTAATTTCTAAATCTAGAAATGGCAATCTTGGATAATTTTCTTCCTCAAAAGTAAATTTTATATTGGGGTGCTGGTTATCCAAATAGTCTAAAACTGTTTTAGTGCTCTTTTCTCCCCCCCCCTAAAAATAACAAAAGTGTCATCCACATATCTATTCTACTTAATTGTTTTAAAGATCTTAAGACAATTATTCAGCCATTGTCTTTGGTAACAAAACAAAAAGATTAGCCAAGCTAGTTGCTAATTTAGATCCCATAGCAACACCATCAACTTGATGAAAGATGGAATTATCAAAAACGAAATGTGACTTTTTTTAGTGGCATATTCCAACAATTATTTAAACATTGATTTCAGCCAATCCCTGAATTACTTCACCATTTTCAGCCAATCCCAGAATTACTTCGCCATTTTCAGCCAATCCCAGAATTACTTCGCTATTTTCAGCCAATCCCTGAATTACTTCACCATTTTCAGCCAATCACAGAATTACTTCGCCATGTTCAGCCAATCCCTGAATTACTTCGCTATTTTCAGCCAATCACAGAATTACTTCGCCATGTTCAGCCAATCCCTGAATTAGATCGCTATTTTCAGCCAATCCCAGAATTACTTCGCCATTTTCAGCCAATCCCAGAATTAGTTCACCATTTTCAGCCAATCCCAGAATTACTTCACCATTTTCAGCCAATCTCTGAATTACTTCACCATTTTAAGCCAATCACATAATTACTTCACCATTTTCAAAAACAATATCTACCGTTATCTTTGATAAGTTTCAAATGGACAGCAACTGTCTGTTGTAGAAACCTACAAATGTAGAGGACGACGTTGCAAAAGTCTTCCGCCTTTCGTCTTCAGGCGGAAGACTTTCGAAACGTCGTCCTCTACTATATCCACCATTAACTAAATAACATCATCTAGAATAATGATGGTATACAGAGAAACAACGTAAAAGCTAGCACAATAAAATCTTCATCAAATCTTAATTGTTTTAACTCTTCTGATATTTCAAAACTATTTTTACCATGTTTTGACTTTTCGTATATTTTTCAAGGAAATTACTCAAAATCTCAGCAAGTTTATGGTCATTTGTACCAATGATAGAAACTATTGGTCTAATTGGACACCCATTTACTTGAATTTTAGGTAAACCATACAAGATATCACAATGACAACTAGATGGTCTAATGTATTTGTTGGTCTTTTTGCCCCTCACATTTATTTAAAGATATATTTGTAATTGACCTCCTCTTTTCTTGCTGGGATCAAAATGTAATTTCTGAAATTTCGTATCTTCAGACAAAACATCTGACACCTTATTAAGATAATCTGTCTTATTAAGTAGAACAATCTCATTACCTTTTCCTGGATTCAAAATTATCAAATATTTTCTTTCCCCCACCTGGTTGTTTAGGGAATTTCAAGAATTTTTTAGAAATATTTAATTCCCTTCTATATACATGAAAATCAAATATCGCTAGATAAGATATAAGTTATTTTTGTTCTTTCATAAATAAGCTTGTTATTCAATAACCTCGATAATCTTTCAAAATCAAAAAAATATATTCATAGTATTAAAACAAAGTTATTTCCTTTTTAAATTAACAACCACTCCTTTCCTTTTTAACCGCCCCCCCCCCCCCACGTGGTACAGCGGTATGTCTGCGGACCTACAACGCTAGAAACCGGGTTTCGATATCCGTGGTGGGCATAGCACAGATAGCCCTTGTGCATAATTAAAAACAAACAAACCTTTTTTAACTTTACAACCATCCTTTCCTTTTTAAATTAAGATTGAAAATTTATCTTAAATTGAAAGATGGGTTTGGTACATTGCAACGTTCTTATGTTGCAGTTCATTTTGTGTGTACTCGCTGTGGGCGAGATTATATTGGTTCAACTATTCGCCGCTTGGAACAACGTATAAAAGAACAGGTACAGTCAACCTGAAGAATTTACAAACGTATTGATTAGGATCGTGAAAAAAAACACGTACTTTTGAGAACTTTGAAACTGTATGCAGTGTGAACAGTAAGAAAGACCTTAGAATGAAAGAGACCTTTTGAATTGAAAATTTAAAACCTTCATGCAGCCTGTGAAGTACTATTAAAAATGAGTTATGTGAGTTGTTGTTGTTGTTTACTTTCAAATTGGTAAATTACCAATATTGTCGTTATCAAAGGCCATTTTCAACCCGGTGGCTCTGAAACATATGTGGTCAGAGTCAGTAAACAATGTCAATCAAATACCCAACCACTAAAGACTGACGAAAGCAGCATTTAATTATATACGTTTATTAGGTGAAACGGACGTCACGCTTTATTCCAGTTGACTGATTCCTTAAATAGTGGTCTCAATTCGACAGTACATTGTAAGGGAATTGGTAATTTCATAACTCTTTGGAACTTTCATTTTACACATTTCTCCTCTCTATATCGCTAAGCCTTCTGTCCATGTTTAAGTATGTTTACATTGTTAGCTACCGAAGTTTTGAATTGGCGCATCAGTTTCTTTTAATTGTGTTTTTCGTCACTGTGTTTGATGTTAGGCACAAAGTTCAAATATTATGGCTTAAATACAGAAACCAAGAGGCATAAAATGTGTGATAACAATAGTGTGAAGTGCACGTTTCCCACATCACAGTTATCCAAGTTTTTTCAATGCAGACACTTGACATCAATATATACTTAATAAGTTGGTGTGGGAAAAACGCTTAGGTTCCATAGTTTCTGCAAAGAGGAGCAACAGAATCTAATGGAAAATTGAAAAGATTTAAGAAAAACCAGCAGAATGGCAAAATATCGTATAGTTTTTATTAGGTGTTATTTTCATTCCCAAAAATGTTTTCGTGTTAACTCATTTGTAGGCTGGCTTGGCCTGGTTGCTAGGGTGCTCGAATCACAATTTTCGGTTTCGCATTCCCGTCACTGAGCATGCTCGTACGTTCAGCTGTGCGGGTGTTATAATATGACATTCAATCCCACCATTCATTGGTAAAAGAGTAGCCCAAATGTTAACGGTTGGTGGTGATGATTAGCTGGTTTCCCTCTAGTCTATCATTAGCTCAGATAGATAGCCCTCGTGTAGTTTTGCACGAAATTCAAAACAAACCAAACTAAATCGTTTGTTTGAAAGCTGTGGAAATTTTCTTGTGTGACAAAACTCCTGGTAAACCTAGTTAGGGTTAAGGAGGATAATAATGGGCGATAGGAAATATATTCCAAGGAATCAAATCCTGTAGTAAACGAATCGTATTGAAAGAACATATACTAACTTATTGAGGTTAGAACGGCTTAAGCTGGCGAAGCATTAGTAATGTGTTAACATAGGATTTTTTTCCAAATTATTGATTGTTCAAACTTCTCACTGTCATAGCGGCAACAGGTAGTCCAGAGTTGTTGAAATTATCTTGTACTATTTATTTTCTTGGTATATGATATATTCTGTCTACAGGGATGTTTTAGTGTTGTATATAGAGCTTGGGTTAGATGAGTTGAAACTTTGCTAGTTGATTATGACATCGATGAAACTTGCAGACAAATTCTATCAGGGATCAGGAGTCACGCTGTCCACTGAACAAAGAAAGCGAAGTAACATTCTAAATGCAGATACACTTTCTCTGCCAGTTCTCCTATAGACGATATAGATGAAGGGCCTGCTTTTTTCAGTGAAGATTTTCGTGTTTGCTGTTGCAACGTTCAATCTCTAAAGAAGGAAAGCTACGAGACCGAACACCTGCATTTTCCTGTTTATTGTTAAAATAAAGATTTTGTCTTTATACTCAAAAAGTGTTTGGACTCGTTATTTTCTCTCTAAGCAGAGAAACTCATTCACATTATCTCACATAGAGAACCCTCTTAAAATCTTTTGTGAACTCTGAACTCTGCTGTTAGTGGGGGGGGGCATTCTATCTCATATAAGTTGGGAAATCAGTTTTCACTTAAAATACCACATTAGAAACTAATAGGCATAAAATTTATGATGAAAATCACGTTAGAAAAACTGAAATCAACGCGATATTTTACCACAAATTTTAAACTCATTCGTAAAGTAAATTATTTTTTATTGAAAATAAACTATATTATTAGAAATAAGTTTATCACCTAGAAAAAACATTGTTACTTAGTCACAACCGTTCCCATCGTCTGTTCTCATCGTACCTTATTGTTACGACAGCGGGGGACACGTGACGCTAGTAACACGTCATATTCTCGAACGTTCACGTCCCATCCTGAAGTCTCGAGAGGCTACTAGATATGCGGTTGTCTTGTATATATAAGCCACGAAGAAGTGACGGCAACAATGTGTAATTGACAGTTGAGTCGAGCTCGTGAGACGTTCGTTGTGAATTATAGCGTTTGTTATAGCGCGACTGTTGAAATTAAGTGTATTGCAAAGTTTTATTCAGAAAGAATAAACCAGTTTTATTTAAGAAAGGACTTGTGTCGCTAAAGTTTCTTCGGAAAGAATTTTTACGGAAAATTAACTAACGACCAGAGACGTAACATTATTATATTTTGGGGGGAAGTGGCGGTTACTGTAATCAACAAAAAAATATCAAAATAAAGATGTAAGAAATTATTGGTTATGTACAAATAAAGTAAAACTTTCTGACCAACAGTCTTGAAAATTGAAATTCTAAAACTAAAGGACTATTTAAAACGTTTTTTTAATAGCGTGTTTCACAATATGATTTTGGAAAGTTCACAACTTAAAAAATAATAGAAAAGTAAATAAAACTATGAAAGTCAAAACTAGACAGCGTTTAGTCAGTTTTACTAAGTTTCATAAAATTTGGTTAAGTATTTCTATTGTGAAAAAGTAAAAAAAAAAAAATCCATGCATACCAACGACGCCCAATTCTTCCCAGAACAGAGGGGGTTAAATATGTATAACGAGATCGGGATTTTTAACGTGATAATTTTTGTCAGTGTATAAACTTATATTATTTTAGATTACGTCTCGGACAGTTCTTCTTAAAAGCCGAGAAAGTACAGTATTTCATTTCAACATTTTACCTTTTTCTGTGACAGATGTTTTTAGCATGGGAGTCGTAATGTGCAGAAAAAGCTTCAAAGAGGCAGAAGACCGTTGCTTTCAAAAACTGTCATTTCTCGGTTATCTCTTGTGCTGGCCAATGAAACTAACATTCTTGTGCAGACTTGTTAATGGTAAGTACCAGCATTATAGTCTAATCATCTCATTGAAGTTATTTTGTAACCACTTAATAAACAAAGTAACTAAACTTATAGTAGTATTTACCTTTACGATTGTAAATGAGTGAGCAATTATACGTGTTCTTTGAAATTTCAACTTGGGCCTAACGAAGCACGATGGTAACATTGGTCGAAATTTCAACTTGGGCCTAACGAGGTACGATGGTAACATTGGTCGAAATTTCAACTTGGGCCTAACGAGGCACGATAGTAACATTGGTCGAAATTTCAACTTAGGCTTAACGAGGCACGATGGTAACATTGGTCGACATTTCAACTTGGGCCTAACAAGGCACAATGGTAACATTGGTCGACATTTTAACTTGGGCCTAACGAGGTACAATGGTAACATGCGGAACTGCTGGTCATTCACACTCTGTTCCTACCCAAAACGTTTGCTCTCCACATTTTTAAAGGCGTGGGTACATTAGAAAAGCAATTGTTAAATCCCAGTATTCTATCAAATAAGAGTAAACCAAGAGTTAGTGGTGTACGGTGATGATTAGATGACTTTCCTCAAGTCTATCATTTCAAAATTAGGCTAGTGCATATCTAACTTTTTTTAATTCTTTAGATACAAAAATGAAGATTTCACATACAGCATATTTTTGATGTTTTTATTGTTTTAAAACAATGTTACTTATCCTAATTATGTATGTGTTTGATATTTAATTTTCTTGAATACCTATAATTTGATTTTTATTTAATTACAAAAAGTGTACGTAATGCAGACATGATGACCAAAAAATAGCCGACTCAATTTTAACTATGGTTTTCTAAAATTTTCAATTAATAAAGGTTAATTTATACACTGCTTTTATATATATACTTAATATATTTAAGTAATTGATAAAGAAAACTACTGCATCCTTTATCAAGTAGTTAGGGCACGTATTGTATGGCACGTGTGTCGACCTCAAGAAACAGAGGAGGAGTCGAGACGATTATATCATAGTTCCACAAAGTGGAACCACGGGGCGCGTTGTCAGGTATACGTTGCTAGGCCGCCATGAAACTTTACAAGGAAGTTGTCTGCTACCAGAAAGTGCAATGCTAGGCGTGATATCATAGTTCGAGTATTACTCAAGAGAAAGCACGTTGCCAGGGTACGAAGTGCCACCAGAGGGCGCGTTAGTAGGATGAGCATGCAGATAGTTCACGAGCAAACCATCAGAGCATGATGTAGATCAACATGGCATCATCTTTATAGTAATAATCAGTCTTAAAATTAATAATTTAATCTAATTTTCATAACATTGTTTTTACAATTACAGTTTTGCTTTATAAGTAAAACATTAAATATGCTGTTTTAATCTTATCAGAATTATAGTTTTCGCATATACATTGCATACATTTTACATAGGCAGATGATGTTATTATAGGAGGATAGTGTTACGATAGGCAGATGATATTATAAAATGATAGTGTTACTATGGGCAGATGATGTTTGTATAGGACGATAGTGTTACTATGGGCAGATGATGCTTGTATAGGACGATAGTGTTACTATTGGCAGATGATGTTTGTGTAGGAGGATAGTGTTACGATAGGCAGATGATGATTGTATAGGAGGATAGCGTTACTATAAGCAGATGGTGTTTGTGTAGGAGGATAGTGTTACTATAGGCAGATGATGTTATTATAAAAGGATAGTGTTACTATAGACAGATGATGTTTGTGTAGGAGGATAGTGTTACTATAAGCAGGTGATGTTTGTGTAGGAGGATTGCATTGCTATAGGCAGATGATGATTGTATAGGAGGATAGTGTTACTATAGGCAGATGATGTTTGTATAGAAGAATAGTTGGTGATGAGCTTATGATAGGGTGTCTCAACTTGTGATTACGTTGTCAATGTCTTGATCTTATATATATTGCGAACCGTGATGTCTTTCCGAGCATTCGTCTGTCATCCCACGCTGCGTTTGAAAAGCTGTGCACGCAGGAAAAGCTCAACATTCACTTTTGAAATGACGAGAGAGCAGGTATAAATAATGTTGATAAGAAATTATATTTCACAAACAGGATATCCTACACTAAATTTTTAGGGATTAATTACAATGTCATTCGTATTTCGTCATTCGTGACGTAAATTAAACAATAAAAATGTTATTGTTGAGCAGCTATTAACATGACTGAAATGATCAAGAATTACTTTCCACAGTGGGTGTTATAAGTTGCTCAGAGCTTTGTATCTGAGTGAAACCAAGAGTACAACACAGTTAACCTTTTTAAATTCATAGATTATTTTAAACTTTTACTATCACTGGGGACGGGTAACTTGACTTGTTTAATTATATATCCTAAAGATCTAAATTTATTATTTGTATTTTTCATTAGTTTAGCATTACAATAAAAGTGTTCTGGACAAAATTTTTCATTTTATTGTAGTTTTTCATTTCTAAGATGGATACAGATTTCAAGTTACGTTTATAGTGTTTATTTATATTTTTAACTGTATTGCGTGTGTTTATATGTATGTGGATAGTGTTACTTTAATACGAAAACATTTTCAGGAACGTAAAGAACATTTAATGGATGTTTAGTTTGTTTTGAATTTCATGCAATGCTACACGAGGGATATCTACGCTAGCCGTCCCTAATTTAGCAGTATAAGAATAGAGGGAAAGCAGCTAGTCATCACCACCCACCGCCAACTCTTGGGCTACTCTTTTAGTGGGATTGATCGTCACATTATAATGCCCCTACGGCTGAAAGGGCGAGCATGTTTGGTGGAACGTGTATTCGAACCCGCGATCCTCAGATTGCGAGTCGAGCGTCCTAACCACCTGGCCATGCCGGACCATTCTTATTCTGAAATGAAATATAGGTATTATAATTACTGTTAGTCTTAATTAAATAAGAAGTAGCAATAGCCACATAATGATAAAAATCAAGTATAAACCGGCTCAGTATATAACATCAGTTAAGTTTCATCGATAGCGGAGACTTTCAGCACATATGGTACAGAGTTTACAGTGACTTTGTTGCTAATATACTGTTGCGTCAGCGAGGTCACGTGACTAGTATCACGCCACGCCCTTCTAGAAATATCC